CATTTTACGTATATATTTAGTGATTGATATGATCCTGCTTTTATTTCTAATTATGTCAGTGTTGGTCCTCCGTACAGCAGAAGCCTGATAATCATTCATTCATATCAGGTGTGTTGGAGCAGAGAAACATGTAAAACATGCAGGGCTGCGGCCCTCCAGGACCAGGATTGCCCACCCCAGTTTAGAGGCGAGAGCAGAGGCTGGAACTGATTATTTCATCTATTTTTTTCTGTCAACAGGCGAGAAACTACATCAGGAGCTTACCCAARGTCCCAAAAAAAGACCTGCACTCCATTTTCTCCAAAGCCAGCTCAAATGGTACGCGAACATACCTGCATACCTGCCTCTTTATGTGGAGGCTTTAACGTGTGTGTTTGTGTCGGCAGCGGTGTGCGTCCTGGAGAAGATGCTGCTCTTGGACCCCGAGTCCAGGGTGAGCGCGTCGGAGGCCCTGGAGCTGCCCCTGTTCGGCGAGTTCAGAGACGTGGAGGAGGAGACGGAGGCCCTGCCCTACGATCAGACCCTGGACAACACCGACCTGCCGCTGGACCAGTGGAAACGTACGAAAATAAAAAAAAAAACACAACTTTTACCGTTTTGAATCATCACAGCTTTTAGCATTAGTTTTGTTTCATCCAGCAGGGGAAAAAAAAGCTGAAGCTAAAAACTAAAAGCTAAATAACAGGAAAAACACTGCCTAAAAGAAGCAAAACATTAACCAAAAGCTAAAGTAGCTGAAGGCTTGCAAAAAATGTCAAAGGTTAGTTAGAACATGTAAGTAACAAAAGGCTATTAGAGCGAACATTTTAGCTWAAGTTGAAGAAGCCAGGCTAATACTATCAAAAATTTAGCCTGAAGCTAAAGGTAGCTGAGCTAAAATCAAAATGATSCAAAATACTAGCTAAAAGTAGCAAAAGGCTAGCTTCAAATGTCAATGTCTGCCTAGAGCATACAATTAACAAAAGCATATCTGAAAGCTAAAATTGAAAAAGGTTAGATCAAAGCTAAAAATTGTAAAAGGCTACCTAAAAGTACCAAGACGTTTGCTAGAAATTTGCCAAAACCTAGCTAAAATTATCAGTGGCTAGCTAAGATAAAACAAAATTTTAAAAGCTAAAAAGCTAAATATAGAAAAAAAACATTAAAGGATAAAATTAGCAGAAAGTTACTTAAAGCTAAAAGTAGGAAAAGTCTAAAAGCAAATTAACAAAACAGTAGCAAAATTAGCTACGCCTAGCTAGAGGATTTTAAAAACAAGCTAAACAAGTCAGATAAAAGGTAAAAATAGCAAAAGGCTAGCTGCTAGTTAAAATAGATTTTAAATAGATGTTTAAGTTTTTATGTAGCTAAAATTTTAAAACTAGCAAAAGTTTAGCGAAAACATAAATTAGCAAATGGGTAGCTAAAATTATCAATGGCTATCTAAAAGATAAAAAGCTAAAATTAGAAAAAAAGTCAGCTAAAATCAAAAAAGTGGCAAAAGCCTAACATAAAGGCTATGGTATAGCTATAGCTAAAATTATCAATGGCTAGAAGCTAAAACAAAAAGCTACCTAAAGGACAAAAGGCTTAAGGAAAAAAAAACAACAAACAAAAAACTAAAAGCTAAGAGGCTAGCTAATAAGAGTTGCATGACAGATTTCAGAGAGAAGTGTGTTTTAGAATAACTGAAGAGATCTGGATCTGTTTTTATGGGGAACATATCTGCAAATAAAGCTAAAATGTTTTTAAAGGTATAAAAGTTTAAGAAAAAGTCTGAGCTGCTGTTTTCTGGAGCAGCTGAACGCTGAGTCAGCATCTAATCAATAAGATATTTCTCAGCTTCTGAATAATTTACGATCATGTTTCCAAAAGATGCTAAAAGAGAAAACTAAAAACTGCCTTTTTAAAACCTAACCAGACCTTTAGGGAGGTGATGAAAGCTGACAACCTTCACAACAAAGAGCTGGACCAAAAAAACAAAAAACAAAAAAACATTAGTCATCCTAAAGTTTTTTCTTCTTTTTTTTTTTTTTACAGGTCACACTTTTACTGAGATCCTGACCTTCAGACCTCACAGAGACTCCAGAGAAACGTCACTTTAAGAGACAAAAACCTTTATGTTTCACACAAACAGAAATATTTTTACCTTTTTTTCTGTTTTAGTTATGATAAATATTGACTTACAGATTTTTTTGTCAATAAATGAGGTTTGTGTAAATTTCATTTAAACTCTGTATGATGAAAGGCATTTAGTTTTGTAAATGTATTTGTTAACTTTATGACAATTATCTTTTTATACAAACTGAATTGTAAGAAATGTTATGATTTAAAGCTATATTGTACAATARTTGACTAAAAAACTAATTAGATCATTTATAAGAAAGTAGTTTGAAATGTTAGTTTTTGTTTCTATTTGTAATTTTTCTTTGTTATATTAAACCATGAGTAATTTTGTTTATTTCTGTGTCATATCTTGTTTAAATAAGTTTTGGTTTATGGGTGTGTTTAATAATWACTTAGTGAACTTTGGCGTCACCTGCAGGCTTCAAACTATTAATACATGACTGAAATCAAACCAGGAAAATGTTTGTTTTTCGAGAACAAAACTCAGAGAATTAAACTAATTTTCGATTATGTTTCTATTTATTTTACCACAGGGCTGCATCCACGTGCTACAGCTAGCTGCTGCTGTTATCTATTCGCAAATACCTGCAAAAATCAACTTAAATACAATGTAACGTACTCAAACTCAAACATTTATTGGTGTTTTAAAATGACACAATCTGYTTTGGTTTGTACGAACACTCGTCCTCTTACAGTTCAGTCCGGTCTAATCTGGTTCTGTCCGGATATATTTAGCAGAACATTTCARCAGCTCTGACTTCCCACAAAGACCCAACCATCCTTCAAACCGTGCTGAGGTCGTCTGTAAACTGGAAATCGGCTGTCCGGGATTTCAGTTTGCAGGTTCTTCTTGAGTCTGAGTTTCAGACTCCGTACTTCTTCTGCAGGGCCATGACGGCGGGTCGGTCCAGCTCAGACCGGAGGAGGAAGTCGAACAGTTCTTTGAGTACTGGAGGGAGAAGGTACAGGTGTAATTAGCTCGCTGGAATTTAAGGTGATWAAAAAAAAGAAAGTGGCTGAACGAGGCGAGCCCACCTTCCTTCTCCTGGGACGACATGAACATGACGGTCATGTCGAAGCGCCGTACGCTCGCCAGACTGCTGAGGGTGTCCAAGATGGCCGCCGGAGCTTCACTCCTGCAATAAAACTATCTTTTAAAAAAAGTCTGCTCTTTGAGMAACATTGGAAGATCTGCAGAGATTTGCTGAAGAAGCAGAAACTGACTTGTTAAAGCTAATTGAACATTAGCTAAAAGCTAAAAGAAGTTAAATATGAGCTAAAAGAGTACTAATAAGGGACAAAATACTAGCAAAAAAAACTAAAAAGCTAAATGTCAGCTAAGCGAATCAAAAAAACAGCTAAAACATAAAAGTAGCAGAAGGCTAAACTAAACCTAAAAACAGAAATGACAACCATGATCTAAAAGCAGCAAAAGCCTGGCTTAAAACAGCAATATGTTAGCTAAAAGCTATAGGCACCAAAACAGTAGCTAAAGCCTAAATGCATCAAAAAGTCTGCCTGAAAGCAAATAGTAGCAAAACGTCAGCTAAAAGCTTAGAGTATCAGAATGGTAGCTAAAAGTTTAAAGTGGTGAAAGACTACCTAGAAGCTAAATAAAGCAGAAGTCTWGGTTGAGGCTAAAAGTAATCAGCTCAGAGGTAAAAGTAGCAAAAAAGATTAACTAAAAATTAAAAGTAGCAGAAAAAAAGCTCTAAATAGCAAAAGGCTAGCTACGTAAACGTAGCATAAACATAGCTAAATGTAGCAAAGGTCTGCCTGAAAGCTAATAGCAACAGAATAGCAGCTAAAAGCTTAAAGTAACAAAAAACTACATAGCAGCTAAATATAGCAAAAGGCTAGCTATGTAAACGTAGCATAAACATAGCTAAATGTAGCACAAAGGTCTGCCTGAAAGCTAATAACAACAGAATAGCAGCTAAAAGCTTAAAGTAACAAAAAACTACATAGCAGCTAAATATAGCAAAAGTCTAGGTAGAAGCAAAAACTAGCAGAAGAGTAGCTAAGAGCTAAAAGTAGCAAAATGGTAGCTAAAAGATAAACATAGCAGAATGGAAGTTAAGACCTAAAAGTAGCAAAACATTAGCTAAAAGGTTACAAAAGTCTGACTAGAAGCTTGAAGCTAAAAGTAGCAAACAGGAAGGTACTTTAAATATGAAAGTAGCAAAAGTCTGGTTGAAAGCTAAAGGTAATAGAACGGCAGCTAAAAGCTAAAGGCAGCAAACTTCATAATAAAGCTTTATGGGGTAAACATTTAAAATCAAAGTCAGATATTTTAAAAAGTGTCAAACTAAAACTTCTCTGTTTTTAGTGTTTAAAGAACTCACTGCATGAAGAAATCTCGCAGCGTCTTCAGGATCTGATTGAAGAGGTCCGGTTCTAGAGAGTTCTTGAAAATGTTGCTGTAAGCTTCAGGTTTGATTTGCTGTCACAAAAAGAAAAACATTTTTTTTTTATGTTTTCGTTTAGTTTCAGAGGATATTTTTAAACATCCAGACAGTGGAGCGTCTCAGACATAAAGCTCACCCGCAGGTATCTGTAGACCAGCTCCGGCTGGTTTCTGATCCTTCGGAGGTCGGACTCCAGCTGGAAGGCGCTGGCGGGTGGAGGAGGCACGTCTGTCTCAGTCAAGGGGGCGGGGCTTGACGGTTCAGGTGGTTGAGAAGTTTCCTCCTGCGCTGGTTGTCTGGAGGTTCTGTCATCAGGTGCGTCCGTCGTGTCCTCTATCTTGATCATCTTGGCGCTGGGAGACATCGACAGAGGAGAGGACTCTTCCTCGGTCTTCCTCTCCACTTCCTGGACAGAAGAACTGGAGGACTCCACCTCAAGGACAGGWAGCTCCCCGCTGATCTCCTCGATGTGGATCCTCCTCAGAGCTTTCTGAAACCCAGAGAGAAAATCAAACGTCAAAACATTTCAGAAGAACAAAATGAATTTKACTTCCTTCAGTCCAGGACTTACAGTTGAACGCAGGTGTTCTGGTTTGTCTATTGGCTGGACTGTTCTCCTCTGTGACGTGTCCTCTGGGTGAGGACAACCCGTCTCCTAACACAAGAAGAAGACATGAAGACAAAAGAAGCTAAAATAAGCTGCAAGCTAATTATCCTTCCTTCTGCTGCGAGAACAGCTGCGTCTGTTTACTTACAATCTGGAGTTTCTGCAGCTCGTTCAGGGCCTGTCTATTTCCTGGTTCCAGTTTTAGCAGCTGCTGAAAATCTGTGACACAAAAACAGCCGAGGCACTGGTAATTATGAGCTAAAATGTGGACAAACGAATAAAAATACATTGTGAATAATAAGAGCTGAATGACTGCTGAAGTTTGTTGAAGAAGCTGAAGCTGGGTTGGTAAATAAAATAAAAAAAAGCTGAAATAAATTAGCAAAGCAGAGGCTAAAAGCTAAGTGTAGCAAAATTATAGCTAAATAATAAAATTAGCAAAGAAATTATAGGAAGTTAAATGTAGGAAAAACCGTACCTAAAAGCCAAACACAGCAAAACAACAGCTAAGAAATACAAGTAGCAAAACAGTAACATAAAGGTAAACCTACAGCTAAAAGCTAAATTTAGCAAAAAAAGAGGCTAAAGGATAAAATTAGCAGAACAGTAACTTGTCAGTAAGTCTAGCTAGCCTACAGCTAAAAGCTAAATGTAGCATACCAGCAGCTAAAAGATAAAATTAGTAGAACAGTAACTTATCAGTAAGTCT